CCGAATCTCCCACCTCGAGTGTCCGTGAAACAAGAAAAATCAATTATCAAGAAAATTTTCTCAGATCAAATCGGAACCCCCACTTCGCTGGGATTCCCCAACGTGGTCTGTTTGGAAATTACCCCATCTCGTTTGGAAAGAGTCTGTTTCGGTGTAAAAACGTGCGTTTTGGTTTGCAGTGTCCCTTTTGGCATAGAATGTGTCCAATTTAAAATGGAAATGGTATGAGTGTGACTTATTCTCCAGAAAACAAGAAGGATAAATGACAGGCAACAGCGACACAAACTGTTTTCGCATAACAACAGCAGCAACAACAACAACAACAATAACAGCGAAGGAACGGGCGAAATCTGTTTTGTTCAGTTCCCATGCAAAGGTCAATTTATCATCGCCGCTCTTTCAGCATGACCATAGCTTACCTCTGGGTAGAGATTGAATCGTTTCAACGTGTTGATGGTGTGACCGTATTCCGTCACATTGTCATTGGTTATTTGTTGTAGACCACTGTAGAACGATGGAGCATTGATTATTGTCTTGTAGTATGAGTAGTACAAACCCTGAAACAAGATTTCCATGAACATTCGAATCATTTTCACATGGCTTTTCATAGATGATTTGCCATCGCCGGCGACCTGACGGCATTCTATTCAACCGGAACTCTCGTCACAACATATAATCGCTTCGAATCATTCATAACTGAACATCATCGATCGAGCAGTCCGGCTCGAAGGGAAAGGGGAGGAGCGGAACATTCCTAATCTCAGATCAAAATTGTTCCCTTTCTAACATTATATACAGTAAGGTTCATGAGTACAGTGCAGCATGAATTTCCTTAAGCCATTTCTCGCCTGGCCTTTCATCAGTTTCTGCTTTTTTTACTGCATTCCATCTGCTTTTTAACTGCATTCCATCTGCCTTATCATTATCAGGGCTGATTACGGCAAGTGGCGCTTCTTAACGCCGGCTCACGCTGTGAGCTCCCGATCCCTGACTTGTTCTCCGCCAGGCCAATCAAGTTGGGTTGACTGAATTGCCATCCATAGCTGACTTCTGGGAATATTAAAACAGCGGGTCTCTTTAAAGGCCCCGTGTTGGAATACATGCCGTTTCCGCGGCATTGAAAGGTGATTGTTAAGCCGACCGCTCATAATCGAGAGTGCGATTGCTGCTGGACGTCAAGTGTCAGAATAAGAAATACCAATTAGTTTTGCGGCTAATTCACCGCCGCATTTCTAGCTTCATCCTGTCCAAGTCCCCTGCACACGAAGCCGGCCTGGATTCGCTATGCCTTTGTAATGGGCTTTCAGTGTGTCTGAAAGTCCAAAGTAAAATAAACCCTAAAAAGGGGTGGTCAACATTGTCCACTTTGAACTTTACATTCTATTTCTGTCAAGGTTTCCTACTACCTGAAAGGTATCGGGGGAGGAAATCACCAATAAATGGTGAGCAGGTCGTTTATCAGAACTTCGCAAGATAAGCCGTGACTTTTCCATGCTTGCCTGGCCGTACAGCACGCCCACCCCCCCCCCTACGCCCCTAGATTATTCCCTCTCCAACTCCCGGAATCCAACTTACTCACGTACATAATGTCCATGATTCCACATCTGGGAGACAATGAAGGGCCGTGGAAGGCCGATAGCTTGCGAGGCTTTAGACGAAGAGAGGCGGAGACGTTTAAAAAAAGGAGAGGAGGGTCCGGTTAAAAAGGGCAATTGGCACGATAAATCCCTAAACATAAAAGACGATAAGAATCATACACCTAGTAAACGGAAAATTTCCGCATCCCCGAGCAGGCGCTGCGTGTCGCCTTTTTCAAGGAAGGTACCCTTATGATACTATCAGCCTGCAACAAACCGACTGGGACGTCCACCGCGCTCGCCCCGCATTAAAATTTGACGACCGCTACTTGATTTCTGTACTATTAGGTTGTTGCATAAGTTCTTATACACGACTTTTTTGTAAATATCTCAAAAAAACGAACCAGCCTGGAGATTAGAGGTATGCACCATCACCATTCACTACTCGACGCCAGCGCTCAGGCAGCTTGTCGATTCCATCCTTCCAGAACGACGGAGGCTGGGACTTGAAGAAGTCGTCGAGCGCCTTTCTGACCTGATCCTTTGTTTCGAACTTTTTTCCGTCCAGATAGCGCTGCAGGTGGCTGAACAGCCAGTAGTCAGAAGGAGCGAGGTCAGGCTGTAGGCGAGGGTGGCGCCATGCATGCCATCATGACTATTCCAGCTCGGCAGGGTCCGCCTTTGCAAAGTGTTGAGGTTCGGGCCGTTGTCCATCGGTGGCAAGCTAGTTTTGCATTCCTTCCCACGAGCAAAGCGTGATCCTTTCAGTTTTTCCCGCAAGATGGGGTCGCACATAATGTGGAAGCGATTCAATCGTCTGTCCCTTCTCCCACAGCTCCCAGTGACTGCCATGCCCTTCCTGGACCACCTTTTTTGGGGTAATAAAGGCCCTCGGCCCTATGGGGTGGCTTCTGGCTGTTCCGCTTGTCGACCGGCACTGCCGGCTTCTCCTCACAGGGTTATCGTAGAGGACCCACTTCTCATCTCCAGTGATCATCGAGTTGAGAAAGTGAAGCCTCTTTTGGAAAGTGAGGAGAGAAGTGCAGGTGGTCACCCTCCTCGAGAGGTCATAAGCGGACAGTTCATGTGGGACCCATCATCGACCAAGCTTTTGCTACCCTTGCCGAGGCTTTTCTAGTTCCCATGCAACGCTCCCGAATGATCATAAAAGCCCCCCGCCTTTCAGCATGGTCGCCATTTACTCTAGTGGCGAGGTACGCGTCTTTCCTCAACGGTGGAACGTAATACTTCCAAATCCAACTCCATCGGCCGACCCGAGCTCGGAGCATCTTCGAAGAAAAGTCTCCTTTCTTGAATTTGGCGAACCAATTCTTTTGTAGCCATTTCATGTGAATTGATGACGTCCTCACCGTATGGTATCCACCAGCTTTTTTGGTATGGGGCTTCCTTTGCATTCCAGCCGAAATCGTGGAGCAAAACCAAACAGTGCGCAGGTACCTTTTGTCACAGTGCAAATTGTGCGACATTGTGTACTGCAAATCGCGCTTTGGTGAAAGTGAATAGCCTAGTGTAGATGAAAGAAGTATAATGTAGACAGTACCGCCACACGTGATGACTTAAAAACCAACAATCATCGGGAAAACGAAATAGGAGAAGGGTTAACACCGTGTATAAGAAGTTTATGCCACAACCAAAATATACTACCAACTATTTTTCATTTGCGGAGTAATGTATGGAACGCTAGGGATTTAGATATGGAGTGGCCGCGGGTGCTTGCACGGATATATGAGCCAAATTAGTGCAGCTGTAATCTATGGTAGCGGGTCGTTGGCCACGATTTACCTGCGGGAAACTCGTCTCCGAAATGGCTTTTCTTTGAAGTCATGAAGAGCGAAATCTTTTTTGCTTTGCACCTTTTGTTGACCGTTTCTAACTTTCGTTTTTTCGCCATTCTCCGCATACAGCAACCCTGCTACATTTTAGAACGAATACCCAAATCCATTCTCCCGCTATACAGCACCCTGTTAGCATTTTATACGGAGTACCAAATTGTCGTGCCATATGCCTTTGAGGAATAGGGGGCAAATGGAAGCCATTGCCAGTATGTCACATAGTACGTCACATCTCCCCCCTCCGATATGAAGGATACCCAGAGTGCTCCAAAAAAGAATATCATTGAAAAGGAATAGAGAATTTTACTGAACTAGAAGCGACCTATATTCTCTCCTGAAGTTCACACACTATTTCAGATCTATGCAACTCCTCCCAGCGAGCCAAGTACGACCTCTTTTTGAGCGATCCAAATTTGAGCGCCTTTCGGAAAGTCTCCTACTTTATTGTGCGCTGGTTCGACACCGCAGTTCTAAGATCAAGTAAGTACAGGGGTAAATGCCCATACCACCTTGGAAACAAGTCACATTCGTGGCGCCTTCCGGAACGAAATCAGAGCCGACCTTTTACTGAACAGCAATAACGACATACATGGTCCTTGTAAACATGAACAAGACTCCTGTGCCAATCTTTACATCACTATATCGCATCCGTGGGGGAATATTCGGGCTATAGGCGGGGCGATATCGGAGAAGGGATGATAAGCGGGAGAAGATCCCTGTCGGGGGCAAACGTGAACACGTTGAATCAACACTCGTTTATGGCTAGTTCCACCTAATGCGACTCTCGAAAGCATCAAGAAATCTTTCAGTAGAAGGGCTAGCTGCGTTGTCGCTCACGTACGATTCCAGTCTGTCCGATCCTTTGGGCATAAATCATTCTTCTCTGCATGGCAATTGGGATGGGATTATGTGCTGGGTAGTCTTTCTGCAACGCGTTTTCTTCATATTGGTTTGCTTTCGATTCGATTTGCTTCTAACTGCTTTAATCTTCATTTTTCGAGATTCAAGTGCTCTGCTATTTTTTATTTTTGCTGTGGAGAGTCATTCAAATGGAGAACCTTGCTATGTAAATGATTCCCTTCACCGCGCTCAAATAGTTCTATTCTCGCATATGACTGTCAAGTGCTCACGGAATTCAACAATACTAGGCTGTTATTGCCCATTGGGTGGTTCTCTTACATTTCTCTGTCCTCCCTCCTACTTCTTTCCTCTGTAACACCAATTTTCACTATCTACTTACTAGATCTCTAGTCAATGAGCAGTCACATCAAGTCCCATTAAGTTACTAAAGACATGGGTCTGCGAACAGGGGATAGAAGCTGAAAATATGGCAACATTGAGGCTAATGTGAGCCCCGCAGGTGAACAATCCTGTACTGGTCTGCGCCGGCCAAAACACTGTAAGGAACCCCAATATAAGCGCCAAATAGTCAGTGATGTCTCCTCAATTTCAGCTTGGTTACGCTCGCAAGGTCGCCCCTTTGTGAGAAACGAAGCATGCAGGGACGTGAAAACGGAGAAAATGAAAGCCATCATAAATTCGGGCGTAAGGCGGATTCTCATTCGGGAGCCATGTTGTGGCGCATGGGCGTGTTAGATATGGGGTTCTAGCGATGGAAAGTGGAGTTTCAGGCTAGGACAACTTGGCAGTGTATTTTTCTGTTATTTTCTCAACGCTGTTGAGTTGTTTTGAATTTTGCGTTGGTTATGCGAACATAGAATTCATAATCTTCGTGATGCGAACGATCGCGGGTTCTGCCTTTGAACGCCTTTCCGCACACCGGATAGGTGGACTCTTTTTTTATACAGAAAACGAGCTCGAGTGTGAGGCTTCAGATTTTGCGCAGAAGGTTCCACTTTTACGAGTTCACTATGAGTGACCAAAATGCAGCGACAGTCATCAGCCCAGGACAACGGTGCCCAAATCATCTAGAGACGGAATAAGCAGCAGTCCTATCTCTTTGAATATACTTATTACGAGTTGCACCACTCATTCCTGAAGAGGTCCGACCTATGCCGTTTCGCTTTTGTTCTAGCTGGTCTTCTTCTTGTCTCACGCTCTGACTGCACTCTCGTCAGCATAGCACTGTCTCGCTTCTTCGATTGCTCGTCCGATCCTGGGCTGTTATTCAGGGCATCCTTGATGGTTTTCTCCTTGCTTTCATTCACTGTGGAGCTGGTTAATATCCAAAATTTCATGTTCAGATCCCAAAGTTCAGGAAGTGTAATCGTGGAATGTCCCTTTACTTTGCCATACAACTATATAATAAATTCGCGCATCGTCTTCTTCCGAACCTAATTTGAAAACCAGTAAAGCCGAGATTTTATGACACCCTAGGCACTGACAGAGCAAGTATCGCTGGATGCTGGGCCAAAATGTTCCCAAGATCTTTCCAATCTCTTTTGCGCGATCAAAGGGAAAAAATTACGGGAACCGTTTTGATGAGTGTTGTCTTGCCTACGGACTTAGTTGGAGATTCAATAGACGACCACTTCGTTTTCTTGCTCTAAAAGTGATTCAGCTGAAAAGGAACGGCCATTTTTCTGAAGCCTTTATTTAGCCTTCCATCGTAATCTGTATTGTCGTAAGAAGGCTAGGCCGGATTTTCGCAGAGCAGGTTTATCGCTCACTGCGTGCGGCAAATTGCAGCGATAAAAACGCTGCAAACTGATACAATGCTTGAACCCTATGATAAATGGCGGGATAAACTGCCGAAGCGGTTTCTGCAACCGGCTGGTAGGCTTATCGGAGAAGTGGAGATTTTGTCTGTTGAAAACTTGCTTTGCTGCTAAATGTTCTATAATCAAATTGGATTTCATTTACCAAAAATGAAGTTTCTTTTTCCAGCCCCAAAGAGCTTAACATAATTACGAGGTTATTTGCAGTTCAGTTGCATTTCAACGCCTCATGGTCAGTTCGCGGTGCTAGTGAGGCTATCGCCCAAAAACCATTGAGCTGAGAGGGTAAGGGTGGTCCCGAAGGCCTAATGGATAGCGCACACACCTGGTCAGCGCACCTCAAAGTGCCGGTTCGAGTCCCATCTGGGGTCTGACATTACCCTTAATTCAGAATACTCATGATAGCTTACGAAGTTGGTAAATTCTTCGTTCTACCTAGGTATACTCCTTACCCGGAGGCGCTGCGCACTTCATGTGAACGAGGCGGCAGCTGTGCTTCCGGCGGGATGTTGCAGTTTTAAAACAGTTGCAACCTTGACTCTGTCCAGTTAGTAGAACAACACTTGTATGAAATGGATATATGCTATGAACAACGCATCCTACGCGACCTTCAAGTAAAGTACGCTGCCACGCCCATTCCTCCGCTGGGATGTACAGTGTATACGCCGAATGAGGTGGGCGGCAAGTAGCGCCTTTTATGCGCCTGGTCTGGATCAGTTTTCAGCAGGGCCAACCAAAACTTCCACCCATAGGGATCGTAAAATCGGTTCCGTATAGGAACCTTAACTTGTGCATGGGATGGCCCAGCAAGTCGTACTCTCCTATCCAAAGAGCCATTACGGGAATCATGACGAAAGCTTTGATCTTTCATCCTGTATTAGCCGACAACGCCTAGGGGACGGGAATTAGGTTAAAAGTTTGCCGCATGCGGCAAGCAGCTAATTTACGGGGCAAAGATATTGAGCCAAGCTACACGTCCTTATGTTACCCTCACTCAAAAGCCTTTTATTATGACTTTCCGAGCACATCTCATTCAGTGGAACGCAGTATTCGCGTCATTCAGCGACGCCTTCAGTAACAGTGTTGAGCTCTTTCTAGGACTTAGTGTTTTAGCTCTTCGGAACCCCTTCAAATGATCTCGGCGCCCAATTCACTGCCATCTCGTCTTCCTAACCCGGCGAGGGCTAGCCGGGCGGGGCAAATTGGCCTAAAGAGCCCATATCGGTCATCGTGTCTCCGCGACCAGTCTCGTATTGTTATCATTCCACCTCATTCTGCTATCAGCACAAATGGATGACATAGCTACCACTTTAGTTTTCATCTAAGCGCGCTGAAAACTGAACTCTGCCTTCGACTCCCCTCTGGGAAGTCCACGAAGTTGATCATTCACAGCGGCCCTTTCATCGTTGTCACTCAACTTGACTCTCTTTATGTCTGCCAACGGGTACTACATTTGCTAGAGATGACAGAAGCGCTGTATTGCGAAAAAAAATTAAATGCGGCTTAACCCACAACTCAATACCACTGATGTGCCCGAAAGCATTACCGTTGCAAGTTCGATATCGAGTGCGTGGCGCATCCAAAATACGAATTATTCATCGCTACGTTTTCGATTTTCTATGCCAAGGAAGTCGTTAGGCGGACCGTTAATCTTAGACCTTGGACCAGTCCACCACCGCGTGAGCAAAGCGACGCCACTCGGTGTTAATGTAGTTAGTGAAAATTGGGAGACGGGCAAGAGAATCGTGATTTGCCGCCTCCGCCGCGCGCGGCGACCAGCGAGACGTTCTCTTAACTCGTGCTGACCTGTCGATAGGAGCGCCGGACTTCATGTAGACCCCTCAACATAGACATTCATGACTATTTTCGGTTCTGAATTGCCTATTGTCGCCATCTGACGACCTAGAATCGCTTATTTTGCCGCCTTTTTGTCGCCATCTACGACCTAGAACCATCGTTATTTGCGGGAGCGACGTCGCACGCGACGCTCATCAGCGCGGCGAATTACGATTCTCTTGTCACATACCCGTGAAACTAAGTTCGGTGATAATTCTAAATCTACTGACTACAGCGAACACCGAGTGGCGTCGTTTCGTTCATGCGGTGGTGTAGTATCCTCTGAGGACGACGATCTAATCGAAGCCGATTAAGCTCAAATTGAATTTCAGAGATCTGTTCAGAAGGGCTTCCAAGCCTTTTTGACATGAAATCGAAATCTGCCAAGTATTACAAATTATGCGGCAATTTCTGTGAAGAGCGGAAGGCTTTAACACTACTTGATTCATCGCCACGTGATTTTTGCTGCTTCAGAGCGAGTAATCCTGACAGGACACAGTCTCGCGGGGGCAAACCCAAAAGTTCATACTGCCATTATACTGCTGCCCCATCCTTTACAAGAATACTCGTCCATCGACCCCCGTCGAAAACAGGAAAGGGAAGGGAGTTGGTCACGATTTCCGGTGTTTGTATGTGCAGCTGCGGAAGATGCTGCGCCAATGGAAGTGGCCAAAACGCAGGAATAGTTAAGAAGACTGTGAATTCACCAACTGACAAAAATGTGAGGGAAAGGGTTCCATGTTCCCATAGGAGCAACTAAGATCTGCAGGCGTAACTGGACACGCTTGGTGGGGCCAGGTAAAAGTAACAGTTGCAGTTCTCGAGCGGTGACGAGGTCCGTCAAGGAAATTTCAAAATTCTTACATAGAAAATCTTTTGTTATTATTTTGTAGTTAAACGAGAAACTACAGCGGAGTGGAGCAAACGAAAGGTCGAAGGGTTGGGTAAGTACAGTTCGGTACCTCGAAACGTTTACCAGGGTGTAAATTTATGTGCGCCGGGTGTTTTTACAACTGTACCAGGGAATCATGGAGTAGGACTGTCAGTAGAGAAACCAGACTACTTACGGATTATTACGACAATAAAGTTTTGTAATATTCCCCATACGTACCATTTCTGTCCTGTAGGAAAGTTCTCTCTCCACGTCAGCCAGATGAGAAAAGTGTAAACTGTTCTCGAAAAGTGTTGATATATGCCTCGCATTCAATACGGAGACAGCCACAGCTGAAACAAATTTACTCATACTGTATAATAAATCTCCAAAATAATGACTATACTACATTATCTATAAATCTTTTTCTGGCTCACTATTGGTAATGTGGGCACACACATTTGTATGAGAAAATTAAAATGCTACACTCCGCCAATGCTAAGTCATTTATAGCTTCGAGTCTTTTTTACTTTCTACTTACTGATGTACTTTCAAACTTTTATAGTGATTGTATTGATTACTTTCATGATGATTATTTATTTTTTTGTTATATATACTGGACAGAGCCCTGATCAATCCCTTGTACGAGATGCGGCACGCAATCTACTTTCACGGGTAATCGTAGTACCTCATCGAATGCGATTTGGTCTGCACAATCGCTTTGAGGTAGGACCAATCTAAAGGTCAATGTTCCCATCCTCCTAG